GAAAATTAGGGTAGACCAGAGTTTTAAACTTCAAATTTCAAAATTAATATTTAATAGTTTTCTTTTCAAAAATCAGATGATAAATGATAATTTTAAATATTAATAATTGTATTACAAAATATTTCATTCATCCCACCTAACCTATACCCAATCATCCACTCAAAACCTAATTATTTTCATTCTCTCTATTATCTCTTCTCTCTCTATTTCACCCGAAGCCGTCACTAGAAACCATTGTTAGAGAGCGCACAATCTGTTGTTGCTGTTGACCATTTCTCCTTCTTGCTCCATCCCATATCAAATTTTTTTTCGATTTTGGTGGCCAGCATTTTTTTGTGTGGTTCGATTGTGGTGTGACGTGATTGCAGTGTTGCATTGTGGTTGTGGTTGTGCTGTGCTATACTATGTTGTGTGTGGTGGTGTGTAGTGGTGGTGGTGTGCGTTGGGGAGAGTGTGTCCATTTATTCGGATGGTCATGGTGGTGCGGGCAATGGTGTTCGATGGTAGTGTAGATAGTGGTGCAAGCGATGGTGTTCGATAGTGGTAAAGATGGTGTAGTAGTGCAGTCGAGGTGTTTGACAGTGGTAAAGAAGGTATAGATAGTGGGTGCAAGCGATGGTAAAGATGGTGTAGTGGTGCAGTCGAGGTGTTCGACATTGGTAAAGGTGTAGATAGTAGGTGCAGTCGATTGTGTTCGACGGTGGTGAAGATGGTGGTTGTGGTGGTCACGGTGGTTTTAGTAGTGTTTGGATGGTGGTGGTGATGTTGACTGCAGTGTTTGAGATGATGATTTTCCTATCGGGAGGTGTTGGTTCTAGCAGTGGTGGTTCAGCGGTGATGCGGTTGGTGGCAGTGCTGAGGTGGTGGTCACAAGTGTTGGTGACGATCACAAGTGATTTGGTTGATTGTAATCGATAAATTAGTTGATGTGTGACCAATAAATGTATGTGACCAATAAATAATGTATGACTTAAAATTTTGTTAATTTGTAATCAGTAATTTGATAATTTGTGACCTAAACATAATTTGTGATCAATTAATTTAATATTTTGTGACTTAAATAAGTTGTGACTTGTAAAATTTGTATTTTTTGACCAAAGAATAATATATAACCTATTAATTTGATAAATTTGCAACCGAGAAATTATTTGTAATCAATGAATTTGATAATTTGTGACCAAATTTTATAGAATTGTGACATTATATTTAATTTATAAAATATACTTTTAATTAATTATTTTAAAAACAAATTTAAAAATATCCAATTTTTGAAATTTTGAAATGATTTATAGTTAAATTCTTAGTTATGAATTTTTCCCATAGAACATTTTCACATAAGTATATAAAAATACGTGAACTTATATTCATGTCTTACTTTCTAC